GTCCAAATGGCTCTTTGGGTGTAAAAGGTTGCAGACCCCTGGTTTAGAGGTTTACAGATCATTATAATCACAGAGCCTGTTTCACTTAAATCGTCCACTTGATGGCGCAGTAGAGCAAACGAATCATCACAATGCTTCGGACCATGAGTCGACCAGTTGGATGGAAGCTTCAGTTCATCACGAGGCTTCATCTCACCATCACTGATAATAACTTCAGCGTCCTGTGATTGTGACTGCTTACCCAGGACCGGAGGCGGCATCCTGCACCAGCTCTCTCCGCAACGCCGGAGTGAAGCAGAAACAGCAGGACCGCAAAACTAGATTATTACAAACTCGGAGGGAACATCCGGTACAGGAGGTTACCTGTAGCTGTCGTGCGATCTGCTCACTTGCTGATCGATGCGTGTGTGCCAGCATTTACTGCGGCTTTTCGCCAAAATCACGGGAGGAATGACCCAAGAGAAAACTCTTTTTGCACGGACCGACGCCTGCAATCAACATGCAGGTGGACGCACAATTAACCTCGTTACGTAGCCGAGAGCGAGCGAGGGAGAGAGAGAGGAAGAGGAAGACGAGTCGCCCATCCGGCTTTGATCAGCTGTAAAACAGCCGGTTTCAGTTTAATAATAAATTTAAGTAATAAATTTCTCAAAATATGTTTCATCTCACTCCCATTTCTTCTTCTTCTGCTCTACTTGGAACCTCGTTAAGATCCAACATGATTTATTTATTTATTTTTTTTTTACATTTTTCAAGTGGTCAAGTGGCCTGTAGCGTTAAAAACACTCCAGTAAAAGTTGAAGCAGCGGTTCAACTGATTTACTCAAGTAAAAGTGAAAAAGCACAGGCTCTGAAACGTGCTCAGAGTAAGAAAGTCAAACCGAGTCAGCTGTTTGTGTTCAAAGCTGAACTTTGTGCTGTTTAATGTAATAATAAAATATTAGAAAATGGGAATACAAACTTTGGTCTGATGGATTTTCTTGTGCCTGCATAGTTGGTATGAAGGTGGATCAGTCGATGAATCTCAGCATCATCAGGTAACATTGATATGAATTTCTGCTTCACTTGATATAATCGATCCAGATCTGATCGCACCTGCAGTCATTCTGCTGACTGTGGCACATGGTCTCTCTCTTCTTCTCCTGGTGATTATTACACAGACACGCCTCACTGCTTCGGCTCAAATCACTGTTTTTGTTGCACTTGTACATGAATTGGCTTGTTTTGCACTTTGCTGCTTCTCAGGACATCCGTGTAAAAGACATTTTCTAACCTCAATGGTTAAATAAAGATCAATGAAAGAATGTTTGAAGGCTTGTAGTGACGTCAGATAATCAACCCCGACAAAGTGGTTAAAGCAAAAGTAACAAGCCCGTTTATTATTGTCAGGAGTGGAAAGTACAGACACGTGTTTATAAATGTAGGGAGTTAAAAACTACTCAAAGTACAGATGCCTGAAAATTCTACTTGAGCACAGTAACAAAGTATCGAAGTACAAATACTTCGTTACTTCATATTCACACCTCTGCTTGAGACCCTTTGTCTGTGATATTTCATAGTCTGTGATAAATGGTGCCGA